ATTTAAAGGCCTTTAAAAATGTCTTGTATGATATATTTACAAACCGAATATATGTCATTCTCAAGTTTTATCCTTGTAGTCTAATTCCTCAAAGTTTCTTTCTTGGCCAGCCATAGGCAGCGCGTCCAGCTGTCAAAGAGTTCGGGCTAAAAAATGACAAAAAATGTAACGCAATCCATTGCACGGCTGTCACGCAAGAGGTCACGGCCAATTATTCAGCTTGGTTAGGAGTGTACGAAATCTTGCAACTGTCGGCCGTAATGACTCTGAGTGGGTTGCTGAATGAATTTATTCCGATAATTAAGACTTGAATTACACGATAACTCAACTACTGATCCGAGCACGTGGAATGCTCTCTGGCACACTCGCTAACACTCCACAACGCGCATGCTCACTCATTTGCATAAATGCATCTCATTACCTTGGTGGATTCTCGATAAGTATGGTCAGTGGCTCCGATTGTTCCGTAAAGCACAGATGTACTAATAATATGGGTTCATATCAGTGCTCATGTAAACCTGGATTTAATGGCGACGGAGAAACTTGCCAAGGTGAGAATTTTAAACAATGAAAGAGACTGTAACGACGAAAGAAAAACAGACACACACAAATGTAGACTAGCAACAATGGTGTTGACAGTAGGTCTTACATATCAGAAATAAAAGTTAGTACATGTATTATCAAGTCAGCTGCCAGGTACAGCTTATTTGGCCTTGTAAGGCCCCGCGAGTCATGCTATGCCGCTGAGGCCAAGAACAAGGCCGAAAAAGCTTACCGTACATGTCTGCAAACTTTATGCCTTTTTTTGTTGAGAAAAATCTTGTGTAACTGTTTGCCATTCTCGCCTCGATTCTGTGGCTGCAGTATGCCGTCACTCGATCGATAAAGTTCATTGATCAGCCACTGCGTTGTAACAGCTTCTGTCTTACTGGCATCTGGCGCCCCCAGATCTGTCCTCTCTTTAGAAACCTCAGCTGAAGTGTTTATTTAGATAACTATTGGATGCAAAGAAAAAACCAAAAACCAACAACAAAAAAACAAAACAAAACAAAAAAAAAACCACGGACTCACTGATTATGAAACATTGTTAAAAAACTTTGATGAGAAATCTCTATGATTGATTGAGTTAGATGTTTATTGTTTTTCTTAAAACTCCGAAAGTTCGTTTTGCTTTCTACTCCCAGACATTGATGAATGCAATGATTTTAACCCGCTCTGTGACGAAAATGCACACTGTGGAAACACTGATGGCTCTTTCACATGTACGTGCAAAGCCGGATACGCTGGAAATGGACACTTATGTACAGGTTTGATCGATGATGAGTTGTCTTTGCCTTACTTGGATTATTCCTTACCCAATTAGCATGTGACCCTAACAGCAGCTTCCCTATGGACTCGATTTTTTGCCTTACATTCTAATTCATTTCAAGTAATATCAATGTCTTGTTGATTATCATTTCTTCTTAATTGGCAAGAATGTGATTCTTCTCCTGGCCCCTTGAGGATTCAAAACTTTTCCTGAAGCTTTCCTGATAGGCAATCCATCTCCATTTCGTAATCCGTGTGTAAAAAAGGGCTGGTGCGCTATAACAATGACCATAACTCGCTAGGGTATAAAAGAGAGTGACTAAAAATAAGTAGATAGAAACTTCTAGAATGCCTTGTGATGCTAACTTGCAATTTTAAACTTCTATGGAACTTTTTAGTACAACCTGTTAGGTTTTATTATTATTATGCAATGGTACCAAAATAGATATGTTGTAAGTTTCTGAGATGTTCTGGAATGCTTTATAGATGTACTTAAAGACTTGGTCGTGTAGTAGTAAGTTGTTGCTTATATCTAGAGCGATCGATCGTTCGGAAAGCTATACCAAGGGAAAGAGAACTATTATGGAAGATTGGTTTTATCAAAAAATTTGAAATTGTAAATTAGTCACTGTAAAGAGTTAAAAAGCTGACGTTTCGAGCGTTAACCCTTCGTCAGAGCGAATGGAGGAATTGTGGGTTGCGTGTGAACACTACTAAAGCATTAGTGAAAATAAGGCATGAAAAAAACATAGACCTGTACGGGATTCACCCCACGGGTTTATTATGAACCAAAACAATGACCAGCTCCAGGTGGTGCTTAAATAGTGTTCATAACTGCGAAAATCGCTCTCATACTAATTTCTTTATCCGCAGTTCACATATATATGTTTTTCATATATTCCCAAAGTTAAATGTTTATCATTTTCTGTCAACCTCCTTAGACTTGATTTTGCTGTTTTAGCTAACAGTGAATGTCAGGATAATAATAACTTGCTCTGTGACGTAAATGCGGACTGCAAAAAGAGGCATGGCTCTTACAAATGTACGTGCAAAAAGGGATACACGGAAAACGGGGACTCATGTACAGGTTTGATGTGTTGGCTTTGTTTTTCTTTGTGGACTCTTACCTTTTTGATTCACGTCATGAAATTGTCAGGTCTTGAAGTTTAACCTTCTTTCTGAATTAGCATGGGTATCACTTCCCTCCTAGTCCTCTAAGGATTCAAAACTACGTGTTGTCAAACCCTTCCTCGAGATATGGGTAATCCAGCTCCATTTTCGTTGTCCCGTTGTAATACCCCAATTAGGGAGTTTAAGCAAATCACTACGGCTGGCGCTGCTACGGCTACCATGGTTAACGAGGCTTGGGGAGAGTACGTCGCGGTAGCCCGCCAAAATTCAACAGACTACGCCGAAACCTTCCCACTCGCGTAGAAGGATTTCCCGCTACGGCTGGATGGGAACCACTGACATGCGCAATGACTCGTTTCTGGACAATTTTACTTCCGGTAGCCGTAGCAGCGCCAGCCGTAGTGATTTGCTTAAACTCCCTAATAATT